TTTTTATTCACTGCTTTTTGCTTTCTTTCCTTCACTTCCACCAGCACTTTCACTGGATAGAGGTCGCTTGGTAAAATATCTATCCAAAAAGGTTTGGCTTTGCCTACTTTTTAAAATGTTTCTAAAATGACTTAGGCAAATGTCATTACTCTGAGCAGCAATACAGCCAGTGTGAACCTTTTCGGGATGTTTCTTTTCAATAAAATCAGTCACTTTCTGATAATACCTCGAGATTTCCTTTATCGAGCGAGATCCTTCCACGATAAAGCAAACTGAGACCGATGAACAGAAACGAATAAAAAATGGTGCTGCGAACTAATGTAACGTCGTATGGTGAGTTTTTGTTCATATCATGGAGCAAAAATATGTTTGAATTTCATGTCGTATCCTGAAAATTTCGTATGATGGGTCGTTCGTATCCTGAGGTACCACTGTATAGAGATATTTTTTAAAGGGATGAAATGGTCTTCACAATTTGAAATTGATCGAACACACAGTAAAATGCTCGTATAACGCACGCCATCTATCATAGGATAAATGTACTATGCCAGAAACCTTCGCGGGAGTATATTAAACAACTTCCCAAAGTTTCACGGCAATCAGATAAACGGTGTGGTAATGCATGAAGGACAGACACACATACATTCATTTTTATATATATAGATTATATAAAACTGAAAAAATGGCCAGTCTCTGTTGGCATATCGAGCACCAGCAAAGCATAGCAGCAAACCTAGAAATTGCCAGAGTCTGTGCTTGACTGTTTTTAATGGTATTCGGCATGCATGCTGCTTGCTGTGTTATTTAAAAAGAATTGGATATAGTGATGTAGGTCAAAGTGCATGACAATGATAATAATGAAACAAAAAAAGTATAACTATGTTTTGAACTGGAGACAGGATATTACGGTATTTCTTTACAATCATAATGGAAATATGTAGTATCTTATTGGTATTTTGAAAGTTATTTCATGAGAATTGAATGTAGGGATATTGGTTTTAGTACATGACAATGATAGTTATGGGCAGTTCACTTTCAACAGTGTTCTGCTGAACATCTCTGCACTTTAGGTAAACCATTTGTATTTAATTATTTATCAATGTTATGCATGCTAACTATTTAGTATGCCCCGATGCCTGCATTGGGCCTTTCAACTGGTAAATTAGTAATACCAATATACATAAAGGAAAATATCTTTAAAACGGAGATTAAAAAATTTATAATAGTACATCAAATATCAATGATTGAAATGCAGAGATAGAAGACAATTTTTAAATAATCATCACACAACAATATATGTGAGGTAGAGAATTAACTTTAAGTATGGTTACAGTATTTAGTAAATTAATTAATTAACATCAATTTTATTAAGGTCTTTTATAATTATTGTTATTGAGATTCTGAAGGGGGACAATTAATTAGATTAATTACTTAAGCTAATACGCAGTTAATGCAGAAGTGGAGAAACCCTAGTTTTTCCCACCACCTCATATTTTCGTCGCACATGGATCTGAGAGATAAACAGAGGATCAAATATCATCACAAATCAACAATCTTTACAATGTTTGGACTTAGTTCAAAACCCTTGTCAAACATCTAATTATTAATGATAGGAAACTGTTAAGTCAGATAAATTATAAGGTAAGAAGAGTCACAACACCTCGTTGATGACATCAAAGAACTTCAAATTTGTTGCCTTATAGGAAAAGGAGAGTCAGGATGTACCGGCTGAACCAGGACACTGCTTGAACTTAGAACCACAACAACGTGAGTCACCAGAGCAAGAGTTGCACCCTCCAGCTTGAACTCGTGCCCTCAGGGCAGACTCCACCATACAGACAGGTGGCTAAAACTCCCATCCCACCATACTCCAGGCCGAACGCTATCTCTATAGAATCCTCCCTACCAACACACTTCAATGGAAGCAGAAGATATCATTACTCCCTCTCAGAGGTATTATGTCAGAATGTTTGTAAACTCTCTCTCTCAGTAATATAAGGACTTAGAGTTAAGATACAGAATATCTAGAAATGTATTATCCCATGAAGCCAATACTTATAGTTGTACATATATTTAGTTGTTTCAATCTATTCTTTGCTTTAGTTTATTAAACGTTTAATATTTGTTAAACTGATAACCTGTCCTGACTCAAAGAACGGACACTATCTTATGATATCATTTATTTTATAAAATCAAAATTTTTAAATATTTTTTATTTTCTGAGCATCTTTTTTAATCCTAATTTATAAACTTTTGTAATTAAAGTTTATAATTACTAAATTACATAACTATTTCAATGATTAATTCAAATTTATATTATTTACTTACACGAATATAATTTGCATTAATGTAACTTGATAAAGGATCACCATCATCTTCAGAAAGCAAAACTCTACTTTTCTCATCTGTTAAAATTAATGTAATTAATTTTATTTAATAAATTTAATATATATATATTTAACATATATAATTAAACTTATTAAATTTGAATCTTTTTTGATAAACTATAAAAAAGGAAGAGAGACTTTTGATTTATATGTATTTATATTTAGTTATATTTGATTACTTACAAAATAGAAAATAAATCATGTAATAGAAAAATAACCTGATCTTCAAATCAGCAAATAATTTTTATGAATGTATAAATGTTTTCTACCAATTAATAGGCCTGCATCAGACCAATGTATTTATTGGTTGGCTAGCTGGTTATTAGCATTTTAAAATACAAGGACCTCATGAATCATGCTGCACCAACCATATGGTAAAATGTTAAAATAATCTTAAAAACTGATGTATTTACATGTTCTATTTTTAAAATTTATTTGAGTTCTAACATAAGCATTAGAAAAGTCAAAATTTGGAACAATTCTGAAATTTACAAGCATATCTGTACAAAATTAACAAATTACATAATGATGTGTTGTGAGATATGAAAGGGTTTCTGCAAGCCTACTAAGGCAAACATCCAGAAAAAAAAACATGCCACATATGTTAAAAAACACAATTTATTTTGCATGACACAACCATGTACAGAATTAATTATGGATTCCAAGTCTAGGACATATACTCTGGCAGTAACCCAAAATATAGTTGTCATATGCAAAATTACAAAATATTGCACTGTGTACAAAGAAGTTGCATTTATGTATTACCCAAAAATTTCCTTATAACTAATTTTTAAAACTATCTTACACTAAAAAAAAGGAAAATGAATGACAGGGATGAGAAGAATAAATATGGCAAACAGAATAGAATAAAGAACAGAGTTGTAGGAACGTCTTTATGCTGTTGTGAATCATATGGAAACGTTCTTGAAAACAATTTGCCCTTTCCTTAATCCAAGAGGGTTTCTATAAATCTCTAGTCCAAGTTATCATTCATTCATCCGAGCTCAAAACTCGTCAAGTTGAAATGCCGACTTCACCCCTGTAATGTCACTCTATGAAGTTCAAGAGTCTCTATTACTCCAAATTAGTTTCATCTGTCTCTCAGATACTTGGCAATTCTCCCTATTCTCCTGTTCATCAGCTCACTATGAGGACCAGCCAAAACATGACTCTTTCAACCATGTGCCTTCAGGAAACTTTGCATTCATTAGCAATTCCAGGAAGTGGCCCTCATCTCCAAGAAGAATAGTAATTAAGAAGATTAGCAAGTTATAGAAGGTGGAAAGAACAATGGAAATATGCTAAAGACTATGAACTAAAATCTAATATGGCATACAGCCACAGTGTGATTTGATAAAAATTAAAATAAAAAATTTGGTTTGATATTACAAATATAAATTTCCTTTAATTAAAACACCTGAATTGATAAAATAAAGAAACTACATCAATTCATTTTTGAAACAAGGATTTACTTATAATAATTATGAGTGTGGAACAATCTCATTGCTTCAGGTCGGTATTATTAGGGGAGGAGAAATATTTGGGTCCCCTTTGTAGTATGCCGTGCACTTTGACGAGCACATCCTCTTCCTTATAATTATAATACGGAATGGTTGTTACCACCCTTCTTTGTATGCGTGATGAGCTCATTAACCATTGAAGTTTTTTACTTAATTTCTTTCTTATCACCTGTATAGAATTAGATACTATGCTCCATATTTTTCCTAATTCGATATATAGTGTAGAAGGAATGCGTCTGATAAGTTTGTAGTTCTGCTTCCACGAGGCACTTGCATTTATTCCTGATCAGCTACCTTCGGAAGCATCCGTCGTAGGCAGACTGGGAGTGCCTTGCATTTGAGTTGTATGCTCTTCGGTACTACCTGTTTTGTTCTGCATATCAAAAGAAATTGCAATTGGGCAAGTAATTTTTGCCACAGCTTCACTTGCTTCAGCAATAAAAAGAAAAGTGTTTTTGCAGTTTCCATCTTTAAGTAAAAAAGCTAAATTTAAAATCTCACGCTAAGTTTTATATAGTTTCTGGATACAAATTCACTGAGTTCAGCATTAATAAAGTTCCTTTAGTATTAACACAAGCACTTTTTGAGTTCCTTTCTGTACAGCATGGTACACGGGTATAGAGACTCTTTTACCTTACAGAGCATATCTGTAAGATAAAAGAGTCCGTAAGGAAAAAGCATCCATGATGCAGTCATCGTTGCCGTATCTTGAACCAACTTCTACATGCATCAGCCATATATTTTGGCGGTATAATTTCATACTGCCCATAACTCCCTACCAAACCTACGCAGATGTATCTCCAACTGGACAGGCTAACCATTTTAGAAAAGTCAGGGGTTTACGCAATACACCTAGAAAATCTGGCAATGGGATTGTTCGTATACTATTTATATCAAAATATATATTTTAACAGTATGTAATATATTGGTTTTGTATACCTTTATTAATTCTACAAAATAGTCATAAAATAATTTGTTTTTAGAAGTGATGTTATGCAAACACTTCAAGTGCTCTTTAAGCTTGGGCGATAATTCTAAGATGTATAGATGAAAAACAGGTGTTGGTGTTTAGATGTGTTGGTAGCCCATACACAATTTTTATTTTTAAGAGTAAGTACGTAGAAATATTTTGTAATGTATTTGGTGTCATGTACTGATTATTATAGTTTTTTTTATTGTTTTTTAAAAAATTAGCACTGAAGAGGGGTTGGATGCGTGTACCAACCTGAGATACATTTGTCATTTTTAAAAAAAATAAAAGTGAGTTCCTAACTGAAAGTTTGGCTGTGAGTCCGTCTATTAAATTTTTTTGGATTACAGAGACGTATTATATAGAAAGATCTAACATACAGCAATCCAGTTATATAGTACGTATTAAATTAGTGATTTAATTTTATAAAATTTCATAAAAGCAATGAGTACTTATAAAATTTGTATTTACACTTTCTTTAACATTATCATTAATTTCTTGGCGCATTTTGTCCTGGACATCAGGATAATGGGAAACATAGTGTACGCACCACCCTAAAGTTATACTGGTCGTTTCGTAGCTATTAAAATACAGAAAAGTTACTACCGAGAAACATTCTTATTTTGTATTGCTTGAAAAAAAATATTGAGAAAATACTACCCAGCAGCCATAAATCCTACTGCATTGGCTATTACAGAATCAGTGCTAAGTTTTTTCATCTTAACACTCGAGTCGCCTTCTGCATCCAATAAAGTTTGCAATAGATCGGGAGGATGATACTAATGGAAAAGATTAAATTTATTTCATTTTGAAATATTTTAAATTGACGAGTGTTTACTTACATTAGATTTCTTGCGAGAATCAATGATCTGTCTACAAGTATCGATGAGAATTCTTATGGAAGAAAGCCTGATTACATTCTTGATAGCATCTAGAAACCATCTTACATACGTGGGAACAGGTTCGAATTCCGGAAAACAAACTGTATATCAAAGCATTTTTAAATATAAAGATATATTTCTATAATATAAAAAAATCGAATTTAGTGTAATTTACGTGATAATACGGATAAAATATCAGTAGAATCAGAACTGAAAACATTATATACGGCTTTCACGAGATTTGTAATTTCGCCATTCTGTACGTTTGTTTCAATTCCGAAAGCAGATCGACAGACGATGTCAAAGGTAAGGTTTTTAAAGTGTTGATGAATATTGAAATATTCATCCTTCTGTTTTTGTATATTTTTTAGAAATATTTTAATCGGATCATCCATGAGTGTGCTCATCTGCAAATATTGATTGTAACAAATAAATTGTAAATGTAGAAAAGCATTTTAAAGTCAGTTAAAGGAGAATAATTACCATTTTAATTTTTCCAGAAGTAAATGATGTACTAATGACAGATCTCGTATTTTTCCATGTTTCATCCTTTTGTATTTCTAAAAAGTCGAACATTAACTTATGAGGAATCCCTCCATCAGGTAATAGTAACTAACAGCAAAAAATACCAATTAAGTTAATTAATTAATTATTATTCTTAATTAATAAATTTTCATAATTAATAAATTGCATTAAATATCAAATATCAATATTTACGTCTTTATTGGTAAAATTCTTGAATTCTTTTACTTGAACGATTTTGATTAAGTCGACGTCGGTACAAACGATAAAAGGTTTGCCTCCAATAAAGAATCTGGAATAAATTCATGTATAATAAGTTGTTGTATAAGATGTAGACGAAAACGTTGCACGAGGTTCTGCAAAGTTGGCACGCAAAAGACAATATCTGGTACAATGACAGGCGAGGCCTTGCAAGAAGTTCACTCTCTCATCTTTCGATCATATCCAGTTAAGTTCCCATTTATTATTTTATCGGACGAAAAGTTGCGCTAATTTTCAGTCGTTTTAAAGCTTTGTAATTTGAAATATGCCGATATTTGTTATACAGGCCGAGATAGAATTTAGCTGCATTATAATGGGTTGGTACATCGAATGGCCCAGTACTGATTGCTTTCGTGCACATTTACTTAGCTAATACGTACAAGAATAAGGTATAGCCTGGGGGAAATGTTTTTGTCGACATCATGTTTGTACAAAAAAACAAATTTTTACACTTAATTTTTTAACTTCAAATTTTTACACTTAATCATTTGATTAAGTGTAAGAATTTGTTTTTTAATGTGTGCATGGAGAGTGTTTTTGTGTATACATGAAAGATGTAATTTCAGCATGCTCGTATTATATTGATAGCTTCCATAAGCTTGTAAATTGTTCACAAAGCTAGTCTGTAGTGTGAATATCTGAATTGTCTTTATTTTATGCGATACTCGGGAGAAATCGTTATTAAATCGCTACAGATTCTATACAAGGCGTATGAAATGACTATTTTTAGCTAATTTTTAAAACTTTAAGTACTGTTTCCCGATCTAGCCCAAAGTTTGCTGATTGCATAGCTCAATAAGTCTATGCAATCAGCTAACTTTGGGCTACTTCGAGAAGCATTAACCAAGATATGAAGCGAGAATATTTTAAAGTACTGTTTTCCCTTTTTTCTCCATTTTAGTCAGGGTTAAGAATTTAATGAAATTGTATAACAGATATATAATAAATAATCAGTAATGTTTTTTATCATCAAATTTATATAATTACAAAGCTAGATATATAAAATAGTATTTGTTGTTTATGCTTATTATATACAATTTTATATTTTATTATATATTATTCTATAATATTTAATTTTATAAAATAAAAAAACATTCAAACTGTACATTAAACATACCCGAAGATGTTTCCATATTTTTTTATCCATTCTTCGGCACATTTAGTTCTCTATACAAAATAAACAAAGAAATTGTACAATCATTTATATTTTTTTGAAAGTAAATGATATTTAAATTATACCTTTTCATGAAATTCTTTCATATTTCCAGTTATGAAATGAGGTTTTGGTCCCGGAATACCGTATCTTTGGAATAAATTCATTCTTCTCTTTCTCCATCTAATTTGATATTATTTACATTTTATTAATTGGTATCACGAATATTAGTAGTATTAAACACTAACTAATTAGCATTTGTTAATTGTTGATTCGCTCACCAGTGGCTGCAATGCCACCTCGGGAATGTGTTGCTCCCTGGTGCTAGAACTACTTTAATATTATTTTTGTTAAATTTCTGCACGTTTTACCTGGCAACACTGGCTCGACCATGAAGGGAGGCCAGTATTTGAACGAGACTTAATTTTCTAATAATGAGTGGCTGTTTGTTTTTTGAGCAATAAAATAATTTAAAAATAATATTTAACGATAAAATAGCGATGATTATTATTAAAAAAAAATTTTATTAGGCTTAACATCGATGAAAATTCAACGCGAAGTAGATTACCGATATACTAATATACTAATTAATAGCGATTTACTAATATAATAATTACATAGGATGTACTAATACACTATACTAATAATGTATTTTTTCATTCTTTTCGGTTATCCGATTTTTTAAGTTATCCGACCAACCTGAATCCCCAATTGAGTCGGATAATCGATGCTCTATTGTAATAAGGATAGATCCAGGATCAGTTTGAACTGATGCTCGTCTGGGAGGATGAACCAAACTGTACACAGTCATCAGTCTGTACAGGTATAAGAACTGTACTGTTGTGAGATCAGAATTGCTTCCACTTCCTTGTCTTATCATTCCAAAGAAACGATAATTGAAAAGAAAACATAAGTTAAAAGTTTAATACAAGATTATATAATCACTAGCTGCAAAAACTCGCTTCGCTGGGTTTTTATTTGTGGGCAAAAAGTAACGATAGTGAAGATTAAGATAATTACATTATAGCCAATGTTACCCGTTTTCACAGAATACAAGAATTAGGTCCCCCGTTTCCAGACTAATTAGTAAATTTTTACGTCCAGTCAAACGATCTATTTTCAATTTGATCAATTTTCTGGAACGTTTACAATCGTTCTACAATCGAACCAATTCGAATTTAAATTCGAAAATTTTTAAAATCAAAATAGAAAATCTTCCACTTTCAACCACTTTCAAGCCCATATCTGCCGCACCTTTATAGCTATCGAGACGCACCTACCATAATGCACGAGTGGAGACTTGGGGCTACTACCACATACAAACACCATTTATGTGCGATGTGTAGTTTTCGCTGAAAAGTGAAATGTTGGGACACACACGTCCATTTTTATGTATATAGATATAGATTATGCTAAGTCAGTTTTACCTCTTATGGGTCCTGATCAAAGTGAGCTGTCAGAATATAATATGAGTTTGGAAGCAATTGTTTGATGAGTGCTAAGATACTAGTCAGCGTCGAGCGTAGATGTTCTGCTGTCTGGTTGCTCAAAAATCCCTTTTGATCAGTGCTTCTAATCTGTAATCTAAATGCTTCCCATGTATTTAACCATTGTAGAGATTTCTCAATAACCTATTTTGTTAATTAAAACAATTAAAATTTGGCATTAATGCCTGTGATATATTGATGCAGTGTAGACTTACAGAGTAAAGGCAAGTAATCATTATTTCTCAAAAATTTATACACAGATAGTGACCTAATTTTTAAAAGCAAACAGTCAAGTAACCAATTAATGTCATATCTCATACCCTTTTTGCTTCTTATATGACACGCTTTCAGCATGTGCTCTATTACAAGTTCCTGTCTCGGTGGTAAGGAATCAAGTTTATCAGCCGACAACTGTTTTAAGTTCAGTATTTTCTTGATGAAGCTTGAGATTTTCTGTTTGAAGAGTTTTCAGTTTCTTCCTATAGATCATCTTTTGCTTTCTGCACCGATATAAATCCTCTTTGACTTTTAACAATTCAGACTGCAAAGCAGAGATTTTATTGACATATAACAGCTCAGGATGCTGTGTANATTTTTATTTTTAGGCTTAAATGTATATATATTTTTTATTGTGTTATCGTATAACAAAAAAATGTATTGATAAAAGAACAATAATATCGGGCACGTTACCCGGTAAAGCGGTTTTAATAAGGCCTATTTTTGTCATTTTTGACTCTTCGATTACTGCAGTGAGAATTTTTAATCATACAGAAGATGAATTTGATTGAAAGGTCCTCTCATGCCCACAAGGCAGAAAGACTCAAAACTGACAAATGCACCGGCCAGGTAGAGAGGGATAAAGCACAACATATCATGGACATATCACGCCCGAAAATTTTTTAGGTTTGTCGATCATCCGGATTCGACCTCGAATTCTCCAGACTGGACGATCCTATTGTATTAATAATACAGCTGGATAAACAAGCCAATGACATATCCCGTTTATTTAAAGTGGTTTTCGACATTGGTTTACTGCTAAAACCGCTTAACCAAACAACACGCTCGTTGGTTAATTAAAGGGAAGATAAGCAAAAATAAAATTATTGAAAACATATTTTGAAAATTACATTAATGTATCAATGTAAACTTATTTCGATACTTCTAAATTTATTTTTATATTTTAAACTTAAAAGAGGAAAAAAAATTCAATTATGTGTGAAACATTCAAGTGTTTTTGGTAACAATTTAAAGATAAATTATTCAAAATTCATGTTAATTAAAAAATTTGAAAATCGAATCACAAACTCTGTAAGAATTTCAATGTTTCGTTTTAAATTAATTCAGATAAATCAAAATGACAAACTAGGCAATGTAGGCCTATTTTGTCATTTTGATTTAGGCCTACTAGGCCTACATTGTGTTATAATATCTAACGAACACAATATTGCAATTCGTAAAATGACATTTTCCTATTACAATAAAAAACTAAATAAAAAAAGAAATCGGCAAGTTTTTGCCATTAGCGACAACAAAGTAACAGATTTTTATAACTATTGAAAAATTGCAACAAAGTCCGACCTTCAATTCGTTTTACCACAGTAACATTAATAATATTAAATATAAATTTTTATGTTTTCAATGCCAAAATATTCTTTCATTAGTTGTTCAAGAGTTTCCTTTGTTAGAAACGATTACATTCTTTGATAAAGAGCATTTCTAAATTTAGAAAACCGCATCAGAAATGACAGTTTCAAAAAGTGCTCCGAGTTCAGACCCGATAATAAAAATGGAATTTGTGAAAATAAAAAAAGCAGAACATATTATAGCATAAAATGATTGATTTAAACATGCTTGTGCATTGAGGAAGGAAAATGTTTATTTGAGAAATCCTCAAGTATATTTACCTCTGCCTCTACTCCTAAACATGCTGCATGGCTCAATCAGGGCAATGACACATCTTATCCACAGTTCACCACGGAAATTTGATAATTACTTCCCGTCACAAAAGATGCAGACAGCATATTTTGTTTCGATTTTAATTTATATTTATAAATAGTTTGGGCGATACGTTTAGCATTTACACTTCTTAGTTTTGTTATTATGAAGTTGAATTTGTTTAAAAAGTTTTATAGCCAAAAAACTACAGAAATTAAAGTGGTTTAATAAATTTCTTGTCTTGAATATATATATAAATTATTAGAAATTTACAGAATGAGAGTGCGAAGCAATTTCTAACTAGCTAATATACAATATGCAACCTTGGTGAAAATTGCTAAAGAGAATAAATGCTGACTAACTAACGAGTGCTTAATAAAAAGCATCGAAATATAGGCAACAGAAAGCAATATAATTAACTGATACAAGACATGTTGCCATATGGAATTTAAGCACATTTTTTTCCATATAAAGTGAAGTAAATAAAATCCCACGCACTCGCAGATGAGTCAGTTTTGACCTCCAAAGTTAAAATTAAAAAAACTTCAAAATAACACGATAGATATTTATTTTAAATCTATAAATGTTAAATATATATATTATAAATACATAAATTTTATTTATCTAAAAAGGACAATTTTATAAATAAAAATCTGTAATATTAAAACGGATTAAAACCTAAATTCATTATTTAAACAAAGTTTTGATTGATAATTGGAAGGAAATTATAATTGAATTAACTTCTAAATAACGCAAAACCACGTTCATTAATACAATTTAGAAAAAAAATTAATTATTACCTGATCCAGAAGAAAATAATACATATAAAAACGGATAAAAGTCCAGCTCCGTAGAAATACATCTCAACTACAACCTATAACACTGGCGACTGATTATATTTTACTGTTCAAGGTTGTATTATGACGCAACGTGATTAGATTAGATATATTGCTGTTTCCTGAACGAATAGAATTTTTTAATATATTTAATTCTTTTTAAATGAATTCATGAGGAATGAAATATAAATAATTTTAATTCTTCTGAAACGCAGAAAACATTAAAATTAATTAATTTTTACGTTTATTATTTAAACTGTATTCAAATAATAATATTTAAAATTTATAATTATAATTCTCTGTCATCAAGTTAATCTTTCGGTATACTGTATTTTACAACAAATTAAATGAAATATTTAATTAGGAGAAATTGTAAAGGAAGAGAGAAATATACTTCAGGGTTTTTGCAAATAATCATTTTCCTTCTTCAATGCACAACCATTGTTTAAATAAATCATTTTATGCTATAATACGATTTTAATCGGTAAGTTTTTGTCGTTAGCGACAACAAAGTAACAGGTTTTTATAACTATAGAAAAATTGCAACAAAGTCCGACCTCCAATTTGTTTTGCCACAGTAACTTTAATAATATTAAAGATAAATTTTATGTTTTTAACGCCAAAACATTCTTTCATTAGTTGTTCAAGAGTTTCCTTTGTTAGAAACGATTACAATGCTTTGATAAAGATCATTTCTAAATTTTTTATGTTCTAATATAAGGTAATATAATAGGGAGCGACTAAGGTGCCAGCTGAAGCTCTGGAAAATGTGGAAATAAATCAGGGAGGATTGACAATCCTCAAGAATATTTCTAAAGGGTGGTCCGTTTATCACCACCGGGCCACTCACCGTGGGGTCTGGCTCAATGGACGTTAGGCTTGATTAAAAAAAAGTCTTGTTAATACGTACAGTGCTAACTGTGTAAAAAAAGTCTGCTACATGGTGTAGATGTTATAATTTCATATGGGTGTAGAGTTTGTGAATAAAATTTTTACTATCGCTATTATTCTTTTTTTTTTTTTTAGCATTTGATTTTTACAGCGAGCAATTATCTATTGAGTGCATCACAACTGGCCAATTTGTAGCTCATCATGTACCCAGGCCCAAAATTCAATATCAAATATAATACATAAAATAAAACTTTTACTTTATGTATTAGGCCTATATTGTAATATTGACAAAAATTATCAGATGTTGCTGTTTCCATTTGCATTATATTGCAAAGGCGGAGCCTCAAAAACAGGTTGTCTTCGTATGCGAAANTGCTAAGTTTTTTCATCTTAACACTCGAGTCGCCTTCTGCATCCAATAAAGTTTGCAATAGATCGGGAGGATGATACTAATGGAAAAGATTAAATTTATTTCATTTTGAAATATTTTAAATTGACGAGTGTTTACTTACATTAGATTTCTTGCGAGAATCAATGATCTGTCTACAAGTATCGATGAGAATTCTTATGGAAGAAAGCCTGATTACATTCTTGATAGCATCTAGAAACCATCTTACATACGTGGGAACAGGTTCGAATTCCGGAAAACAAACTGTATATCAAAGCATTTTTAAATATAAAGATATATTTCTATAATATAAAAAAATCGAATTTAGTGTAATTTACGTGATAATACGGATAAAATATCAGTAGAATCAGAACTGAAAACATTATATACGGCTTTCACGAGATTTGTAATTTCGCCATTCTGTACGTTTGTTTCAATTCCGAAAGCAGATCGACAGACGATATCAAAGGTAAAATTTTTAAAGTGTTGATGAATATTAAAATATTCATCCTTCTGTTTTTGTATATTTTTTAGAAATATTTTAATCGGATCATCCATGAGTGTGCTCATCTGCAAATATTGATTGTAACAAATAAATTGTAAATGTAGAAAAGCATTTTAAAGTCAGTTAAAGGAGAATAATTACCATTTTAATTTTTCCAGAAGTAAACGACATACTAATGACAGATCTCGTATTTTTCCATGTTTCATCCTTTTGTATTTCTAAAAAGTCGAACATTAACTTATGAGGAATCCCTCCATCAGGTAATAGTAACTAACAGCAAAAAATACCAATTAAGTTAATTAATTAATTATTATTCTTAATTAATAAATTTTCATAATTAATAAATTGCATTAAATATCAAATATCAATATTTACGTCTTTATTGGTAAAATTCTTGAATTCTTTTACTTGAACGATTTTGATTAAGTCGACGTCGGTACAAACGATAAAAGGTTTGCCTCCAATAAAGAATCTGGAATAAATTCATGTATAATAAGTTGTTGTATAAGATGTAGACGAAAACGTTGCACGAGGTTCTGCAAAGTTGGCACGCAAAAGGCAATATCTGGTACAATGACAGGCGAGGCCTTGCAAGAAGTTCACTCTCTCATCTTTCGATCATATCCAGTTAAGTTCCCATTTATTATTTTATCGGACGAAAAGTTGCGCTAATTTTCAGTCGTTTTAAAGCTTTGTAATTTGAAATATGCCGATATTTGTTATACAGGCCGAGATAGAATTTAGCTGCATTATAATGGGTTGGTACATCGAATGGCCCAGTACTGATTGCTTTCGTGCACATTTACTTAGCTAATACGTACAAGAATAAGGTATAGCCTGGGGGAAATGTTTTTGTCGACATCATGTTTGTACAAAAAAACAAATTTTTACACTTAATTTTTTAACTTCAAATTTTTACACTTAATCATTTGATTAAGTGTAAGAATTTGTTTTTTAATGTGTGCATGGAGAGTGTTTTTGTGTATACATGAAAGATGTAATTTCAGCATGCTCGTATTATATTGATAGCTTCCATAAGCTTGTAAATTGTTCACAAAGCTAGTCTGTAGTGTGAATATCTGAATTGTCTTTATTTTATGCGATACTCGGGAGAAATCGTTATTAAATCGCTACAGATTCTATACAAGGCGTATGAAATGACTATTTTTAGCTAATTTTTAAAACTTTAAGTACTGTTTCCCGATCTAGCCCAAAGTTTGCTGATTGCATAGCTCAATAAGTCTATGCAATCAGCTAACTTTGGGCTACTTCGAGAAGCATTAACCAAGATATGAAGCGAGAATATTTTAAAGTACTGTTTTCCCTTTTTTCTCCATTTTAGTCAGGGTTAAGAATTTAATGAAATTGTATAACAGATATATAATAAATAATCAGTAATGTTTTTTATCATCAAATTTATATAATTACAAAGCTAGATATATAAAATAGTATTTGTTGTTTATGCTTNTTAAATATTTTTTATTAATAAAAATTTAAGATTTGTTTTAGTTTTTCACATTATTTAGTTTTGTTTTATTTATTGTTTTATATTTTTTGTGTGCTCTATTTTTTGTGAGCGAGGGGGCCCGGTAAGAAGAAAATGTCTAGGGCCCCAAAGTGGGTTAATCCGGCCCTGGTCACAGTATTATCGCTGAGATGGAAACAATGTTAATTTGTCTACATTTGGTCGCTTGCTTTACACGTAGCGCCATCTGTCGGCAAAACATTTAACAAATTAATCAAGTACAGTAAATATAATTCTTACAAAAAAAGATATAATTTTTTCTTGTTTCGCGTTTCTTGTTATGAAATGAAATTTTGGTTCCATAATACCGTATCTTCGGAATAAATTCGTTCTTCTCTTTCTCCATCTAATTTCAAATTATTTACATTTAATTAATAAGTATCATAAATATTAGTAGTATTAAACAATATCTAAGTAGAATTTGTTAATTGGTCCTAGAGGTGCCATTGCAGTTACTGCTCACCAGTGGCTGCAATGGCACTTCTAGGATGTGTTTCTCCCTCGTGCGAGTAATAATTGTTGCACCCCTTACGAATTACTGCAAATATACTGTAAATTCCCATTTTTCGGTAGCCATGAATAATTCTTTGATTTGAGTTTGGATTGTATGGAACAGTGTTATGTAAGTTACTAAGCCTTAGAACATGGGTTCTCAACCTTTTTTTTACCCATGGACTCCTTCTCTTAATTTTTTTGTGCACCCCCATACATTGCACAGGAAAAAAACCATATCTTTTTTTCCGTTACATTGTTTCAAATTGAAAAAATATTTTAATACTGAAGCTCTGAATTTCAGAAAAAGTAACTAATGTATTTATGAACTAGCACTTTTAATACCTCTTACCTTGTCAAGATGGAGTTTTGCACAGAACTGGAGATTAGGGTTAAAATAAACTGATTACTTTTATACTGGAGGAAGGCTATAAAGTTTATGGCCTCCCTGAGGAAGGCTATAAAGTTTATAGCCTCCCTTCTTAATCTTCAAGATCTGGAACAAACTGTCGCAAAACGTTCAGAAATGTCATTGTCAAGTGACACCACGCTGATGGTACAAGATTCTCCTAACAGACCCCGGTTTTATAATCTCTCTTTGACGTTTGTCAATGAGATATATATGTCGTTTACGTATTTAATATTTTAAATAATTTATATTCTAACCCTTATGCAAGAATGAGTAATAAATAAATTGACAATATACTGTATATACTGTAGAAATTTAATTTTCAGTAAAACAATTGTCCTGAAGTAGAATTATCCTATAGACCACTAAAATATCACCATGAACCCCAATTCGGTATTTTTTTTCTATGGACCCCCAGTAATGTTACATGAACCTCGTAGGGTCCATGTGGATCCCAGTTGAGAACTGCTTTAGAAGTTTATTAGGCTACTTGCAGGTCGAGAAACTCATCACCATAGACCATACGCTCTATTTTGCAATGCTATAAATCCGTATAAATATATAATGCAAATATTAACAATTGGACTGTTTTATTGTTCAATTTTTTGTCATTCATGTATAATTAAAATTAGGAGTGCCTTTATGCTTCTTAATTAGGAACGCCTTTTGGCCTCCTTGATGAAGGCGATAAATTTAATTAAAATAATTTCCGTATCAATACATCAAAAATTCTGTTGTCAAATTTTCTTAGAAATTTGTATGTGTGGGGCCTCTCTGAGCGCGGGCCGAAAAACCGACCTCGGAGCCCGCCCAGCCAAAAACGATAACTAACTAACCAAAATTAATTAATGTTTATATATTAAATAGTGCTATTTAAAATATAAATTCTAGAAAATATGGAGTTATGTAGAGAAATAATAATAGATATTTTAACACCGTAAATGCTTAAAATTAACTTAAAATATAGAAAAATATTTAAAACTTGAATAATCAGAAAATTTTAATGCTTACCATTAAGCAAATAGAATTCATATGGATTTTATAATTTTGCTCTTTTATATATTCAATTGGATATAAGGACGATGCTATCTTATAATTAAGGCTAAAACATCTAGGGACTACAAACCATATAAGTTATAAGTTATCAGTCATATAATTCAAATACGTAGTAACTTATATGATTTATAAATACATGCCTAAATTGCATACATGTCTTAACCTTACTCAAGATAATAAAAATACAGTACATAACTTTAACTAAATTTTTAGCAATTTAAATAGATTTATTAAATTTAATTTTTATGTAATTTAAATAAAAGGTTGGTAAGTAACAACTCATAAGTAGAATAAACGTCATATTGAAACCTAACATTCGTAACAAAAATTGGGCAAAGTATTGTTTCATATAACAAAAAATTTGCGTTTGTTGTACACATCGCTATTATTAATTTCGGAGATTCTCAACGAAGTTAACAGTAAGACATTTTGGAAATTTTATAAATTTTTTCTATATTTATCCAATATTACTATAAATGGTTGTTTTTAATTCTTAAATAACGATTAAACCAAAAGTAATCTAATGTTAACTAATTTATATTGAATAGATACGTAGTATCCGAGAGACACTAAAAAATCTATTATTTTACTTTCAGCGTTTAGAATAATTCTTACGTAATGCCCAATATTATTATTAATATTCAGAACAAAAAAGCTAACCTAAATTAAAATTTGATGCTGATAGTCTTATGATCGGGGACTGTATTATCTACTTTGGGCCCGGAATGCTATGTTCTATACCTAATAGAATGGATAGCGTTATTTACACTGAGATACTTGACAATTATTTATTACAATCTGTTGATTATTACCACATAGATGGGAGCTCTTTCATTTATCGGCAAGATAATGGGATAATATTGACCTCCTGGATGTTGGATCCAGGAGGTCAATATCATCCCATTATCATGGATTTAGGATCAAAGGCGAAAGGAGGCTATACTGATTATTGAAGTATACTTTTTCCACAGATATGATACCGATTTTTGTCTGCGTCAAAATTCTCTCAATACAATGTTCTTTGTATGTTACACTTATTAATGAAATAATTACGTTGTTCGGATAATTGTATTATAACTATAAACGTAAACATATAAGTATGCAAATAAATATAGTTTTTCGTACTAAATGTGCCTTGCAACATTTTCCAGTTCATTAAAATAGTCTTATGCATTCTTTGGGAGAATTTTGACGCATACTATAAATTATGTAATAATAACTATTTTAATACACTGAATAATAAAAATACAAAGTTTAATATTTTTACACACAATCTAATTTTATTGTATTTGATATATAATTAGTATTAAATGTAATACAGAATATTTTTACAACATAATGATGAAACAATTAAAAATAAATCATTAATAATATAATATACAGGGTGTTTCAAAAAACTAGAAAATAATGCATGACGTAATAACATTTTTCTGAATTTGATAACGTCTCGATTTTACAAAAAACAAATTCCTTCTTCAGATTTGATCCCACTGTAAATTTTTCTTGAAAATTGTATGAAGGAAAAAATATACAGTTCAGACAACAAAAACAAATAACTTATAAAAACAGTTCATGCTTTGCAGCAATAGTACGACAGCACCCAGATGTTAAGCAACATTCATCATTCATTCATCCGTGTGCTGCACAAGAGAAAAAGAAATCTTGAACGTTTGCTTTATTCTGGGCCGGCGCTATCGTATAGGCCAATGTTTCTCAACCTCTAACGAATCGTCGCCCCTTCAACGTAGTATCGCCCCCTTCAATAAAACCGTTACGTAGTATCACCCCCTGCACTACAAAATTTCGATGCCGAGGGACAAGGCTAACGCCAAATTCGTACTGCATTGAATAGACTAGTGACTAGTATAATGTTATTTGTTTAATTATTGTACGATATAACGAATAAAATATCTAATTAATCTTAATATAATGTTTTACTATATCGTCCAGAAAATTGTTTTTTCGCCCGCAAAATATACTAATCGCCCCCTCAACATGAAAAAACGCCCACATGGAAGCGATATCGCTCCCGTTGAGAAACACTGGTATAGGCAAACGGGACATTTGCCCAGAGTGGCAAATTACAGGAGTGGCAAACTTTATAAATTTATACAAAATTTTCAAGTGTATTATTTTTAAAAATTTTTATTTACATTATATGGCGCGAGTTCAATGTTGATTGACGGAGCAAAGTGAAGGATTTTAACATAAAATTTTTTTCATTTCATGTAGAGGGATAATGGGCGTGAAATGCATGTTTTGTCCGGACTACATAAATCTTAGAGCCGGCTCTGGCTTTACTAATTTATTACCAAACGTTATCAGCATCTCGTTTTGATAAAATATCTTTGTCTTGTTATCATAGAGCATATATCAGTTAATTGTTCAATTGTTAATAATTAAGATAATCAAAATGTTGTCTTTACTAAATAGACTTAATAGTTAATACAAAGTGGGAAAGAGAATCACCTAACACGCCTGTTACAGAATATAGAATGTACTGTATCCAAAGAATGTACAGTACATTAAGCACATCATGTAACTGTAAACATTTGAGGTAGATCAATAAAATCTTTCAGCAATCAATTCTTCGTGAAATTTTGACTCTAACATGACCCCCTTCCATTTACAGTTTCGGAGTGAGATTGTTGTGTGTTACAAGCATGGCCGCCATCTTGATGGCGGCCATGCTTGTAACACACAACAAACTCTTTCCCTTCAATCTAATATGTGTTCCTGACATGAGCGAAATAACTTTGAATACATTCTATATTCTGTAGCAGGGATATTAAGTGACTTTCTTTCTTACCCTGTACAGTAAACTTTCTATGGATTATTTACACATCCTAAGTTCTTCTATTACTTCCAGTCCAGTTCACCTTATCATTTGATATACTCCATATAAATACTATTAAATGATAGAAAAAAGAAATTTTCAATATATTTTCAAAATACAGTGAAACCTCGCTTAACGAGCACCTCGCATAACGAGTGACAAGAAGGGAAATTCCGGATTGTGCGCATGCTCCATCAGTGTGTTTAGCACTCGTTCCGCTAGCATCTTAGTGTCGCTCGTGATCACACATCTTTCCAAACTTGTGTTCACACATATTATGTATAAATATCGACAATCATAGCCCGTTATATAATAAACACGCCATCTCGTGCTAAATTTCATGACCAATTTCAAATTAAATTTTAGAAATGTCTAACTTAAAAATTAAATATTTATAATTATTAAATTTAACACAAGATGTAAGCATAATTGCCTACCTCTAGTCCCGTGGTTCTTAACCTGTGGTCCGTGGACCACTGGTGATCCCTGAAAACACCCGAAGTAGTCGGCGAAGTTATCCCAAAATTATTAAATAAAAGACGAGTTGATGACAATGTGCAGTACGTCAAGGTTAGAGCAGATAGTGGACTGGGCTGGGGTATGGTGTGCGGTCAGAAAATATGAAAGTGGAAGTCACTAGCAATAAATTTGCATTTGAAGATAAAATCAGTGCGTTTATCGCTAAAATCGACCTATGGATCAGCAAAGTCGAAAGAGAGAATTTTTCTGCGTTTGATACATTGAACCCAATTATTGATTGACAGTGTGCTGAGATTAAAGGACAAATACAAANCGCTAAAAGGAACCCGATTTTAGTCGAGAGAAGACATTGTGCGGAATGCGACGGACCGGCTGATGGCCATTCCAAAAGATGCGTTCCAGCAGTGTTTCCAGCAATGGCAGAAACGCTGGGAGAAGTGTATACACTACCAAGGAGACTACTTTGAAGGGGATTAGGGTTTTGTACCTCAAAAACAATAAATGTATTTTTTCCGACCAAAGATCCGATACTTTTTGAACAGACCTCGTATGCCACTTTTCCACACGAAAATTAATAAAAATTACGTTGGATCAGACATCAGAATTATGAAAAGTAGAAGTTAATTGACGATACGATTACAGTGACATAGTTAATAATTTAGCCTTAATAAATAGTTCGATTTTGACATGGTTGTTCACTTTCTCTGTCTGGTATCTTTTTATAATCTAACACAATATTATCATATTCGGAGGAAATATCGAAAAGCACAAGAGCCGAACGAAACTTTGAATCTGAGATCAAAGTAATAAAATTCTGGACCAGTAATTATTCATTTTTTTCTATAATTTAAAGATACAACGTAAATAAAGTTATATATATATGTATGTATAATTCGAATAATTGTGTCTTCATTCGAAGAGCTCTCTTCAGATGTTCTAACTGGTGTATTCGTGCTTTTGTGTTTTGTTCTGTTGCAACTTTTACTACTTGTCCTTTTTTGCTTTACTCTCTAAGACTGTCTTCTGTAAGTGAAGCCTTTCATTTTCTTCGTTAAGCACTACTTGGAATGTCCTCGGAAAGGTGCTACGATACTCTCGTCATCAGAGAAATTATTTCAATTTTCCAGACTTAATCGAGAAAAGTTCTAGCTTTCGGTCACATCACTTCTCATTTCTGTTGCGTGAGCTTTCTAAATTCATCTTGTAGGCGTAGTTTCTAGCCAGATTTTCCGAAACACAGTCAAGAGTTTCCTTTTTCTTTCTTATTTCCTTTTTGAAATTCATTTGCAAAAACGTGTTTGTAAAGTAACTTTTATTAATTAGGTCTAGCCCTCCTCAATCACTGTCGCATTAAACGTTCGGCGTGAAAAACTATCTAGAAATTTTTGTTTTAATGCCTATGATTCATTCATTGCTGTTGGAGAAATAGTGTTTATCTCCAGTAGATTGCTTTATATTACAGAAATTATTTAGCCAATTTTAGTGAAAAATTTAGTTTCGTTTTGGAATCTGAAAGTGTTTATATAACTTGTATTTAATTGTTCGTCTTTCAAACAAATAAATAAAATTATTTCATTCTTAGAAAATAAAGAGCACGTAAAGGAGCTAATTTTCTGCATAATTTTTCATCAAAAGTAATTATATATAAAATATCACTGATAAAAATTTGCACTTTTTGGACGATCATCCTGAAAAAAATTTGATTGAGAAGGGACAAGATATTTTGTATTATTTTTATTTTATGTAAAATAAAATATTTATTACGAATTTAAAATTTGTTTGACAGTATGTTACTTTATATAAGCAAAGCATTAAAAACATTTCATTTTAAAGAATTACTGAGAACAGATGTTTGTTTTATATAATGCTTGTAAATAAAAGCGTGTATTATATTTACATATAATTATTAGTACTTATTTTAAAAATTTATAATCATTATTTAGAAGTCTTTATGTATTTGAGAGATACGTAGTCTCAAAAAAGCTTACTGCCTTTCCAGTTGTCAAAAGAGAATATAAATTACATACAGAGAAGAGATGGTAGGTATTTGTATGCCTGTATGTAAATTAATATAAAGCTACGTTTTAAAACCAATCATCTTTAGCATCAAATTAACTCATAGCAAAATTTATAGAAACTGAAATATAATTAAATTAAATGGCTGTCAATATAGGAAACATAAATAATATATCTCAAGAAAAGTATAGGCAACAACTAATTCAATCGAGGCACTGTTTGTTTAAAAAATTTATGCTTTATCAATATTTTCAATTATTTAGATCTAGGGTTTACATTGAAAAACCTTCCAGATGTATTTATAATTACAATTATAAATATGATTTAAATAATAATGTGTTTAAATACTGTTTAGACAATTAATAGAAGCTTTCAAATTACGTTTGAGATAGAGGAAAGAGAAAAGCATATAAACAATTGTGTATGTATTTAAATTTTAGTAAATTTTTTTTTGCGTTTTATCTTACTGCATGCTTGAATTGTAAGTGATATTTATATACACGTGATGTCTGATTTTCTAGAGTTGTTATAGTATATAAATGGTATTAATCCATATGTAATTCAAATTCAAGCATTGCAGTAACTATGAATTATACAGAAATGTCATTTTACTGTGAACTGTTACATTTTACTTCAAAACTTAGCTCGGAAATCGGACTTCTGATGAAAATTCTATCACGTCACAAAATGATCCAGTTAATTTATAAGGTTTCGACGTGATAAGGGGTCATCTCTTATTTCCACTCGACTATGGAATAAGACTATTGTCATTGTGAAAATCCGACTCTTTTAAAAGATTTTTATTAAATAAGTAGCAAGTTATATTTCTTTCATCATCATTTTCGTTGTTTCTCCCATTCTCACCCTAATGTCCGAGGAATAGACCCCGGATAGTGAACTGCGTAATTCGTCCGTCAAGAAGGTCATCCATAGGACGAAGTCGTCCGAGGCGACCGCGGAAGAAATCCCCTCTCCCCGGGATATTTGTTTGTTTTGCTAATTGGTCACACCGCAGACACCATGTAATAGAGTAGTCTCCTGCGGNATCCGTATGTATTGATATATATATTGATATATAAAACATGTTTTAGATTTTTTTGTTATAAAAAATGGCACAGTATATCGCGAATGTTAGTACAGTAAAGTCCCTCAAATTCCACTTAGTGTCTGATAAGGTGACAAGTTACCGAAAATGACGAATTTTATGACATAGCGATACGCTAGTTTTTTTGTGGTTTTAGGCCCTTTACCACTCAGAGAGCACAAAAAGGCCAAAAGCGACATGCTAGTGAAGGTATACTATATACAAATTCATATACGTGTAAACCGAGTGGTTAGAGCAGTGCACGTCTCCCCCACTTACCGGCTTCGTTGTCAGAGAATGGCTATAGGAGGGCAAAAATAAGTGAGTGGGGAGGAGTCGGAAGTCGTGACAAGGTGTCCAGATAACTACACGGGTTAACCAATACTAACACATTTAATAAACAAATAAGAGATTATACATATCAAAGACAATAAATATAACACACGCGTAATATAATAAAAATCTATCCTATATTCTAACCTAACCTAACGCTAAAGATCGAGAAAGAGACCTCTCTAAGAGGTCGTGTTGGAGAGAGAGACAAAATTCTGTCAAGGGATTACCCGTAGGATGCGATCTCTTCGTATAGGGCGTTGGTAGGACGCACTGGGATCGGTCACCGAAGTTCCAGTCGAAGTGCCCTTGGATGGCGATATGGAGTATCGGACGGGGTAGATGTCTTCGATGACAATGTCGAGTCTTCAGCAGCTGTCCAGAGGGGCTTCTTCGGCGTTAGCTCCTCTGCTAACCGCGCGGAGGAGCAAATCCGACCCCTTTATATACCTGATCAGCGTGGGAAAAATCTGGGATTTCGTCGACGTAGTTTGTCAGTTCTCCCTGATTTATTACCGTCTTTCCCCGCCGTAGAAAAATTCATTGCCTTATTTGGTCATTTCTCGTCGGGTCGCTCGGACTTATAGGGGATCATGGGATTTCGTCTTACCCTCGCCGATGACCTTCGGGATTCAGCAGCACACGTTTGCTGCTGCCCATTGGCTATTTAATTATACGACGCAGTCACCTTATAACCAGGCGATCCCCTGGAGGGGGTTTCTCTTCAGACGATGAAAGTCTCTTTCTAATACGACGCAGTAGTGTGAAAATTTGTAACTGCGTCCATATTCTCACATACGCATGTACCAATAGTGACTATTTCATTCTATAGTTAAATTTTAATTTTAAAAAATAGTTGTGAGGTTGCCGAACCGCGCGTATCCTAAGGACGTCCGAGTCGTTCTGAAGCGTGAGTGGATGCATTTGGCACAGAGACAAACTCCACAGTTACAAAAAATTAACNGTTTGTGCTAATCTCATACCAATACAAATTCTGGGACCGGCGCCGAAAGGTTGATAAACGTACGGATCAACATGATTTTCTGCAGAAAATCTGTAAAGATTATTTAGTATTCAGCTCAAAAATTTGCTTTCTGCACATTTCTATTATCATTGTTTTACCTTTCGGGATCGAACTTTTCTGGATCTTGCCAGTAAT